ATATAATGATAATAATAACAACAATATAATAATAATAATAATAATAATAATAATAATAATAATAAATAATGATAATACTAACAACAATATAATAATAATAATAATAATAATAATAATAATAATAATAATAATAATAATAATAATAATAATAATAATAACAATATAATAATATTATTATTATTAACAATAATCCTAATACTACTAATACTACTACTACTACTACTACTAATAATAATAATAATAATAATAATAATAACAATAACAATAATAAGAATAAGAATAATGATAAAAATGATACGATAACAATATAAAAATAATGTTAATAATAATAATAATAATAATAATAATAATAATAAATACTACTACTACTACTACTACTACTACTAATAATAATAATAATAACAATATAATAATAATAACAATAATAATAATAATAACAATAATAATAACAATAACAATAATAATAATAACAATATAATAATAATATTACTAATATTAATAATTATAATATAACAATAATAATAATAATAATAATAATAATATTACTAATATTAATAATTATAATATAACAATAATAATAATAATAATAATAATAATAATAATAATAATAATATGTCTATATAAATATAAAACTGACCTCTCCCAGATTAGTTCCATTGGCAATGCATAATCACACCCAAAAAATGATGCAAAAAAATCTTTCTCAACATACAGCATTGAGTGGCACGATATTGGAACATCGGACATTGCGATGTTCTGTTTTTCATCGATATCTATTGCGATCTTAATACAATTTCACCAGATGGCACAATTTGCTATGAACTCAGGTACAGTCAGAAATTAAATAATCAAATATAAACTATCACTTTAACAGTCTTGATTGTATAAATAATTAGTAGATAAATAATATGGTTGCAAATTATACAATTTTATTAAGGTAAAAATGATAAGGACTGGCGTCATGGTGGCGTAGTGGGTGGCACAATCGCCTTGGCAGGGTTAGTTGGCTTTAGTTAACACACCTACCTGGGAGTTTCTAGTATAGCTAGATAGAGCTTGATTTGCTGATTCAGGTGTGTTTGATTGAGGTTAAAGTTCAAATCTTCAGGACACCGGCCCTCCAGGATTGAGTTTGGGCACCCCTGGCTTACAGCAAGAACGCAAGAATGCCAGTTGGCATTTCTGTGTGGAGTTTGCATGTTTTACCATTGATTGCATGGGTTTCCTCTGTGTGCTCTGGTTTCCACAGTCCAAAAATATGCGCTATAGGTGAATTGGATGAACTAAATTGCCCGTAGTGTATGAATGTGTGTGCGTGTATGCAAGAGTGTATGGGTGTTTCCCAGTACTGGGATGCATTCCACTGTGTAAAACATATGCTGGAATAGTTGGTGGTTCATTCTGCTGTGGTGACTCCTGATAAATATGTGACTATAAGCTGAAGGAAAATGAATGAATGTAGCTGAATTTAATCTATGACTTCGGTTCACAGAGGCATGCATTTGTACTATATAACACAAACAACTAAAAAAAACGCAGACCCCCCCGATAGTCGATGTATAATTCACACGCTGCATGAAACCATGACTCAAAGGGAAAATCGAAAAGATTCAATTGCACATTCCAGAGGGGATTGTTTTCCCTTTCCTCCCTGTCTTTTAATTACACCTTCTCCCTTTTCTCATGCAAGGGCACACGATCCTCTGTTTAAGTCTGCCAGTTTTGGAAATGTGTGTTTTAAATCAGGGGTTATCTCTGACGCCAGTGTTCTTCTGATGAGACGACTTCAGACAGAATTTAGTCCCCCGGCTCCGTTTTATTTTCGCTACAGTGTTCTTAGGCCAGTAATTGAGATATTATCAGCTTAAAGGAAACCTCACATCCTGAATCACTATATCACTCCATATAAAAGCCCATTACTGACAATACAATGTTCAGTGGGCGACATTGACATCCGCAGCTCCTATTATGCTGTTTAAAAAAATTTCGCAGAGTGAATATAGTAGGTCTGCAAAATCTCCCCTTGCGAAATCTTGATTGCATTGAATGCTTAGTTTCAATGGGCTTCAAATCTTAAAAGTGCACTTTTTAAAAAGACTACTTGATGATAATAAAAAAGCCCATTTTGATGGCTGCTTTTAAAACACTTAAAATATGCCATTTGTAATAATATGATATTAACGTTTTACTTTAATTGACTTAAATCCTTATGTTTTTGTAATGCTTTGAAGAAGCATCCACTGAGTGAAGTTTATTTATTCAACTATTAACTAATTGAACTAATTCTCGAGAGGATCACATGCTTATGATTGCTTGTGCAATATTCAATTTATGATTCACCAATCAGATGATTCCTAAGCCACTATAAATACCCTAAGCTCCATATGACAGCCATCTTTGTTTTGAAGAATCCCCCCTTCCACCACTACTCCTTGTCCTTTTCTAGATGGGTGGCACGGTGGGCCAGTGGTTAGCACTGTTGCCTCACAGCAAGAATGTCATGGGTTCTAGTCCTTACCAAGCCAGCTGACGTTACTGTTTGGAGTTTACACGTTCTCCCCGTGCCCACGTGGGTTTCCCCCAGGTTCCCCTGTTTCCTCCTACCGACCAAAAACATGCAACTTAAGTAAATTGACTAATCCAAATCAGCACCATAGACATGCTCCTAGTAACTAGTTATCTCTTAAGAGCAATCACTATCTGTTCATTAGCTACTACAGCAGGGGAGTTCATCTCAAGATCTCCCTGAGCTCAAACTCCCCTCTCGCTTTGCAAACAGGAGGGAGCCCCAGGCTCGAGGATCTTATTTGCTCAGGGCTCCCTCCCTGGACACTATGCCAAACAAGCTTTATAATCAATCATCAGCTAAGTGTGAACTCTTGAAATATCATATATGGGTTAAATTTAACCCAAGTAATTAAAATTTACTAATGTTCAACTTCATTTGTTTGTTTAGATTCAGCCCATATAAACTGTTTACAGCCAATTACTTTAAAAAATTTTTTGTAAATCCAAGAAATCATCTTTAAAAAACATGATTTTTTTTCAGTGTACTTACTGTATGTTGATAAATACATTAAGCACCTTCATTGCATTCCATTCAGAAGAGCACATCCCTATGTCCTGATCCCTAAGGGTTATTCCGCCAGAGGGACATCTTTGAAAGGTTTATAAGGTCTTGCAGAAAGGAACAAACAGTGTAGCCCCTTTCACACAGTGATACTGGTAAATATGTGGAAAATTACCATAACGACTTTACTGGTAAATTAAAAATAGCGCTGTTCACACAGGCAAGGACATTACGGAATTATTCCGGAAAAGACCTTTCACACATCCATTCCAAAATACCTGTAAATTCTGACATCGTTAACCAGAAATGACCTCTAAAAAGGTGCGATTATGTTTGTAAACATAGAAGAGGTCGAGCTTTTGTTGAAGATTTCTCCTTTATTTAAAGCTTTGGCATTCATGCGGCTGCTTTTGCTTCAGAGACATCCAGGCAGAAGCGCTAACCGCAGCTAAATGTTTACACATTCGACAGCATTACAAATTCTGTGGATGGATAATTATTGTGAACAACTTCTATGTAAACATATGGAGGAACACTTCCGCATAACGAAATGTAGGTAATATGTGTGTGTGTGTGCTGGCGTTCACCAAAGTACACCTTCACTTAACGTGCACACACGTCAAGCAACTTAAGCAGAGCTTGAAGGTAAACAAAAAGCGTTCTTTCATGAGCATTTTATCCATAATTCTTTACACAGTTGCATTCGGAAGAAACATAGAAACATTATACAACCCGGGCTCATTGTGGAAACGTAGCGCCGCGGACGTTTCTGCGGACCGCGAAATACGTCCCGGGAGGTACATATTCGAGCGGTTTTTGTTTTCGCGGATCCGCGAGAGGCCGCTGTGCGCGCTTTTTCGCGTCTCGAGCGCCTCACGGGAGCGCGCGCCTTTCGTGCCCGCGCTGTTCTCGCGTGAAAAGCCGCCGGAGGCCGCTGTGGAGCGACTGTCTGTCCGACTGGCCGGCCGAACGACTGAACGATCGACCGGGCGGCCGGCCAATCGGCCGACCCAGCCGCCCTTCTCTTCCTCCTCCTCCTCCTCCTTCCCTAAACCCAAGTGACGGTTTGCAAAAGCCATCCAGAAAAAAAAAAAGCAAATGGCCTTTTCTTTGATTTCGACCGCGTTTTTGGATCCCGCAGCGTTCTCGCCCTTATTTTTCGGATTCTTTTTTTCATCTTACCTGATTTTTGGAACCGCTCTTTCCAGGACCAGATCCTGTCCGCCCGCCCGCCCGCACGCTCCTCCTCCTCCAGGCCTCCGCTCCGCCGATGTAACACTGCGAGCTAAGCGGATGAACTGGTAGCAGCGGGAAAGCCCTCCACTCGGAGGTGAGCCATCGGCTGGCGAGCGCGAAGAGGAGGAGCGGAGCGGCACCACACTGCCCCGCAGCGTTCGCTTGAGAAAAACTAAATGCGGCCGTACGTACCTCCGGCCACGTAAATCGTGGTCTCCAGAAACGTCCGCAGGGCTACGTTTCGAGAATGAGCTTGGGTTGACATTATCTGACTAACATCTAGCAGCTAAATGTGTCTGTTAAAATACCAAATTGGTAGTGTATGAGTGTGTGTTTGATTTTGAGAGTGCATGGGTGTTTACCAGTACTGGGTTGTGGCTAAAAAGATATGCTCTGCGTAAAACATACACTGGAATAGTTAACAGTTAATTCCTCTGTGGCGACCCGCTTATAAAAAAGTGACCATGTTTATATAGTGTTGCTTGATCTAACCAATCGAGTTTTTAGAAAAGGCGGGGTTTAGAGAAACCGTATACTTGTATCAACCATTTCAGACACTGTGGGAAAAGAGCTGGTGCTGCAATATGTTTTTTAAACTTTGGATGTACATAACAAATTCAGCAAGCTTTTACATAGCACAATTGACGCACTTTAAACAAGACAGGCTGATTCACACACACACTTCAGCTCTTACCTTGGTTGCATGTTTTTCCTGTATAACCTGGATGGCACTTGCATTTGTTGGGTCCCACGCATTCTCCGTGCTTGCATCCGTGCTGACATAGCGCTGTAGGCAAAAAGATCATCAGTATCATTTTACACCAAATGTCAGAGTCTATACAGCACACATGAAAACATGTAACAAAACACAGCCTGAGAAGAAAAAAATCCACTGCTCTTGCTGTGGGAAATGATCGTCAGTGCAATTAGACCTTGAGGATACTGTAGTGAGAGGTGCACAAAAACATTATTTTGGAACGCCGGCCCCCCTACATCAATAATTCATTGTTTGCCTTGGTCATTTTAATGAACCTGGGACCTGCAGAGAGTACGGTCCGGCTCACTTCTGCTTTATGACTCATTACATCTCACATTTGGATTGGGAGGAAGCCCAGCGCCGTGCGGCCCCTTAAGATCCTCGTCTGGGAGAAGCAACTGAGGGTTGATATGAGGTCAATTCCGACTCAGACATCTTCAAAACAGAGGCAATTCCAAAAGACAAAAGCTTAATCCCATCACGCCCAATGTCGACAAGAGGATTCGGTGTTTGTAGGCATGGTGCTGCTATATAACAGCACGGGAAATTAATCTATGTTTTACTAGTTTAGTATACGGTGGTGCAAATCAAATTAAAAAAAGTAGTCTAAGACAAAAAGGGCCAATTGTTGTATTCGCAGTGATTTTTTTATATGCCACTAAACACATTTTATAACTCTTCTAAATATATATGTTTATGCAACAGTTCTGTCTGGTTCTCAAATCTGATTGGCTGATAGCCGTGATATATTTAAGTAATATCAGCACCAGTACAGCCTCTTTACCCTTTGTGTATTACTCCGCCCACATACAGCCAGCAAAAAGCAGACACTACAGATCTAAAGTTTAAAAGATGCACGCTCAGCTGGTTAACAGACAGCGTATGATTTGAATCCATCTTTATATTTAAATTGTCTGAAAATGACATCACGTATAATTAAATAAAAAGCACACAGATTGTCCTTCATTAGTTTGTTTTGACTTAACAGAATGCTGTCATCGGTCAAGAGCAGAAACGGCAGTTTTGAAATAACCCAATTGGGCAGACTGTATTGTAGTAGTGGTCGTAGATCAAAATGAGAGGACAAGTGGATTTAGCAAACGCGAGAGAAGAAGGAAAGGGAGGCATCTTTATTTAGGCATGTTCCATAGAAGACACAACAGAGGTTGTGCTTTATCTGCACAGTCCAGTGCAAACCCCAGCTGTGGTGTCTTTGTCCCTGAGTGACATTAGTTTGGACTAAACACATCAGACCCGGCTTACAGGAGGTTCGTCCTCAAGTCTCCAGTCGGCTGAGACTAATTTTCATTCAAAGCTTCATTGAGTCTCCAATTATAGAGGCCTATGAGAGCTGTTCGTTCCCCTCACTGGTGCCATTCTGACAGTGAGAGGAGCTAAGAATACACACACACACACACACTGCAGGAGACCCGAATGAGGTAAAATTATGTCTCTCAATGCGTAGCTGCTTATAGGTTGTGCCCTAATAAACATTTGGAAAAAAAAAACTAAAGCATTTTTTTATTAAACAACATCTTAATTTAATGCAATATTTATTATTGTAATATTAAATTTTTATTTAATATTTTAAACACATTTAATAAACTGATACATCATATTTATTAGCCGATCTATACAAGATTGAGGTGTTTTATTTATTTATTTGCTTGTTTGTTTGTTTATGTATTTTTTTGCTTGTTTATGCTTTTTAAAATGAAGAATTTGGAAATTAGAAAGAATTGACTCATATTAATTAAGTAATAAATTTTTATAATGAAATATTAAATTTAAAACTCCAGAAGGGCATTAACAAGATTTATTCATATATTTAAATGAATAAATTTACGTAACATTTTTATTTATTAAATGCATATCTAGAAAAAGGGGCTGGGTCAGTTGGTGCTTCAGTGTGGAGTTTGTATGTTCTCCCCATGTTGGCATGGGTTTCCTTCGGGTGCTCAGGTTCCCCCCACAGTTCAAAGACATGTGCTATGGGTGAATTAGGTAGGCTAAATTGTCAGTAGTGTATGTGTGTGAATGAGTTTGAAGGTTGTATGGATGTTTTCCAGTGAAGGGTTGCAGCTGGAAGGGCATCCGCTGCGGTCAACATATGCTGGATAAGTTGCCAGTTCATTCCGCTGTGGTGACCCCAGATTAATAAAGGGATCAAGCCGGGGGGGAATTGATTATTTCATTTTAGAATTATTATTTAAAGCCTGTTTCCTAAATATTATGTAAATACAACTAAATTTGTGAATTTTATTAACATTATTATTATTTATTGTTATTATTTTATATTGAAAATAATATTACAGATTTATATGAAACAGAAATACGGCCATTTTTCATCACTTTTAGGTTTTCATATGTCAGATTGTCCAGGATTTTATCCAATAGCCAACTATATGTTTGAAACCAAATCAAAGATGCTGACACTCAAAACCCCAGGATTCTAGATGGTAAGATGAAGCCTGGGACCTGCTGGTGTGTTCAGATAAAACACACACACACGCACGTATAGATCTACATCCAGCCTGTTCAAACTGCAGGAAGGCAGAAAAGCATTACCTGCCATGGCAAAACACTGAGATAAGAATCAGTTCGTCTCTTATTAGATTGACTAGGCTAATCAAAGCTACATGTGCAGCTTTCTTTTACTCTGTGTTACCCAATACACACACACACACACACCTTAAGACTTTAAACCCTGAGAAGAAAACACAAGCACGGGTTTTATAATTTATTCATTTATTCATTATTAATTATAGATATTTATATTATAGATATTTATTTATTTTTAATTGTCTCCTTAGGTTATACCAACAAATTACAAAATAATATATAGTTTTTAAAAAATTAAATATTCTTAAATGCGTGAATGAATGTACTCTTTATTAATTAATTTAATACTTTGTAAGAATCAGAGCATTTATTTATTTAAATTATCATAGTTCCTTGTTGTCCCATATAAAAATGTATATATAAACTTAAATAAAATGAAAATGGATTACAAATAATTATTTACAATACAAATCATAAAAATTAAATATAAATATTGTAACAAAACATGCTACATTTATTTTGACTTAAATACTACTTAATTGTATTATTATTATTATTATTATTATTATTATTATTATTATTATTATTATTATTATATTAGTCATAGTAGTAGCATTCCTTACAATGTATATTAATTAAATTAGTAATACATTCATTCATTTATTTTCTTTTCGACTTAGTCCCTTTATTAATCAGAGGTCGCCACAGCGGAATGAACCACCAACTTATG